AAGCTTTTTTGTCCTGCCACTACTACTACCAATGCCGGTATTTCTCCCTTTCTCCATCCACTCATCCATCCCTCTCTCCGTTCCTCTCTCTCTCTCCTCCCGCCTCCAGCTCACAAGCACCATCCTCATCATCATCAGCAGCAGCAGCACCAAAGACAACAAATCCTTTGTCTGCGTTAGTGAGGCGCAGTGGACTGGGTGTGGCTCTCAGCAGAACCCGTGTACCCTTAAGCCTACCTTTCACCGCCTTTGTAAGCAGACAAGTTTGAAACTGCCTTATAGCTGTATATTCATTCCTTTCTTACAAACTTTGAAAATGCCTTAATATTAAAAGTTTATTTAGGTGAGAGAGAACTTTTAGTTTAAAAAAAACACTTGATAGGAAAGATGAGAATCTTGAAAACTAGTCCAACCCTTTATTGTGACTCATTTGTAAATCATTTCTGCTTACTGCATCAAAGATAAGTAGACCAGTGTGTTATAACAGGATGTAGAAGTGATTCTATAATGTGACACAATGCACAACTAAGTTGAGTGAAGAACACCTACTGGCTAAAAAAACCCATAAAATGGATCCGCCTAGGTCGTAGTGGCTTAGGACGAAGCGATTCATCTTTTCATTATTTAAGTAAACTGCTGAGATTTTTGTAGCTGAACTGATAGGATGAAAAAATCGGACGTCTATCATGAGCAGCAGCTTCCCTAGTTTACGGTACATTTAGTACCGACTACTTGAGGCAGCATTTTTTTCCACTCATCAACCTGCATTACTTCCGCCTCGTAGACCTAATATGCAGCCCCCTAGTCTGGCAATTTCTGATTTGACTGACTTGGGCAAACTGGGGATATATAAAAACAACAAGGGTCCTCTTTGGAGGCCTAATATCAAGTACTTCCCTCAGTATTGCTTTTATTCAGCGACAAAAGTGTTTTCATGAAATAAAAGGAATTCTTCATGATTCGCACACTCGACAAGGTCAGATATTTCTTTAGATGAATTAAGTATGGACTCTTGAATGAGTATCTTTTTTGTTTTTTAGGAGGGCCAGATAGTCTTTTCAACATGGAGTCGGGGTTTGAAGAGAGGTTGCGCAAACATGGGTACACCAAGCTATCCCAATCATCTCCTGGGATAGGAATTATTTTGGACAGGTGATTAAGCAACCGCCAACAGCTTGTTGCCCTGTCCACCGAGCCAACTGGCCTGTGCTCAATGAAAATAAATTACCTCAAGGAGAGGAGTAGCCACTGGGAGAATCGAGATTGGAGTTTTTTTGAGGTGGGGGTAGGTGGGGAGAGCCAAAGCAGGTTTTGCGGGTGTGCGTGCGTGAGGGAGGCACAGGGCGTCTCCGCGGCCAATTTAATTAATTAATGACTCGGAAACACACACACAGTGGCTGTAATTACTAGGTATCTAGGTGGTGCGCGTATATGTGGAACAATATACACTTCTTCCGAAGAAACGTTTTGTTTCACCGGCGTTTCGGTGTCCGGTAATCTAAAAAAAAACATTATTCGCAGACAGAAAACGCCAAGTTTTGAAGGTCGTTTTTGATTGCATCCTTATGCCGGATCCTTAATAAGCAGTTGCCATTCAAGTCGAGCAAACGAATGTTTTTTATTTGGCTCCCAGCAGCTTAAGGGAATGTGGAAACCACGAATCCGAAGTCCTGCTGCTCGCCTTAATATCATTCTTTAATTCACTGGATACTTGGTTTTGGTGATTCGATCTCGCGGCTTCACGGTTACACCAGACATGCATTTTTGTTTGTGCTTTGCAGGTCTTGGAATCATCACCGAGCAGCGTCAAGTGGATGACACCTCATCGTAAACAAAACTTCAAAAAACCTCAACTTTACAATGTCGGAAAACAAAAAACAATATTCCGTAAATACTTTCGAAATATTTGCCAATCTGTGATGCTCTAAGTATTTGTTATGCTCTTTGGCTTGGCTTCAAGGGTGTTTAAGGCTTTGCGGCTGCACTTTCGCTCGGCGGCATGGCCTTCGGGCGGCGTATCAGTAGTCCCTCAATGCAATCCATTTTCTGCCCTTGAAGGGCTACAAATCAATCCATTTCATTCCAGGTATCTCAACCATCCAAACTATTATTGTTAGAGGTAGGTCCCAAATGATTAAAACCGGTGCTTTTAAACTGTTCACTCAAAACCAAGCAACGGAACCGCACAATCAGGAGGAGTTTGTGCACGTCACCACACACGCACAGCGCTGAAGTCGCTTTGTGAGGAGATTGACGTCAAAAATACGCGACAGGAATTATTTATCGGCATAAGATAACCAATTTGACTACATCGTACCGCAAACAAATTGGTAGAGTTTACTAAGATGCATAAACGCTGCCTACTCGCGGTCGGTGAAACGACAGTTTAAATTGACCTGTTTAGTAGTGCAAATGTCGGGTGTCCCGCACACCAACTGAAGTGGTAACCAGGAGATATGAGGATTTGCAGAGACAAAAAAAAAAGAAAATATCCTTCAAACTTGTCATAACTTGATACTTTAATTAATAAAAAAGGATCAATGATTAAGAAAGCAGCTAATATTGTACCAAATTGAGATGCAAGAAGTGAGACCTTTAACCAACAATCGGGCGCCATGTTTTAAATAGTTCATAATCCTCCCATTAAAACAAATTTGAGGATTAAAGTCTTAAGTGTTGAGGGATGCGAGTCATACCACGTCTGGCCATTGTTTCCCTCCAAAAGTGTTGCAATCACCAAGACGATCGACTTGACGATATCAGGGATGCTTGAAGACCTCTGGAACAGGGTTCAAACCTCAACCCTACCCTCCTCTTTCACACACGGCTTACATGACTTGACCCGAGTTGCTAAGACGGTGACCAACAAGAATCCCTTCTAATTAGAAGTTTCCTGATCAGAAAGCATAATCTTGGATTTTGCTGCTTTTAATTGTTTATTCCTTTAATAAAGCATACTGCATAATTTTACTCCCTTAAATTCACGAGTAGTCGTAGCGACTAAAATTTTAAAGATGGCACTTTCAAAACCTCTCCCGCAGATAAAGTGACTGAATCACAAGACAGTCCCATCCCTCAGCAGTCAAGTAATAATTCAACGAACCTTAGAAGGAGAGGCACACTAACTTCTCCCCCATCTTCGAATGCTCTAAAAGTGGAGGCTTTTTAAGGCAACGATTATGGTCCCACCACCTTACTGTCGGTTAGTGAATTGGTCGTGTAAATTTTTAACGAGTTCACTTTGCCTCCCGGCCCCAGGGGAGTGTACAGGCACCCTGCCCAAACTATCCGGCTTTGTGGATTCCAAAATACGGAGTCCGGGCAGCGAATTTTCACTGGAATATTCGCAAACAGGAGCGAGGTAGAAAGAAAACAACCCCACTGAGCTGGTTATTAGAGCATAGAAGAGGATTCTAGCATTAGTGGAGCTTATACGCTGCTGCATTGTATACCTGCCTGGACGGTAGACCGTGAGTACCTTATGCTATCACTTCAGCGACGTCTTGTGCGCTTGACACTTGATCTTGAAGGTAGATGTATCCACACCTTTGGGATTTTAAAGAATGTTTAATGAAAAGCTTTTTTTATTTTACCTCTTTACCCCCTATTGGCTGATGGTTAAATCAAGCACCAACAAAACTTATTATTTTAATCCTGGCTCAACATCCTTTTACTGTGTTTAGCCATTTTTGTTTCTCCATTTCACTTTTGGATCTCCGAAGGGCTGCTTTCAAGTCCGTAGAGTCAAGTCTCGGGGAATTAATTACAATTTTTTTTCAATAAGGTTAATGCATTTTTAAAGCCACAATTCTAACGAAATTTAGACTGTTGGATTGAAAGAATTTAGCAAAAAATTAAATATTCTGCGCAACAAGAATTTTATGACGCTGTCAGTAGGGAATAAATGTAAGTAATGAATAATGCATTAATTAAGTAATATGAATTTAAAGTTGACATTTTTACTCAAAGATTCCTTTTTTCAAAGTACAAACTGCTTCTGACAAATGTCACATGTATGACAAACGACTTTCATTAATAGGTAAGTGGGCTTAAAAATCCAAATTTTGATATCAAGAATACCAAGAAGCTCAAATAATTTAAGTAGGAATTTGCAAAATCGAGAAGCTATCAAAAATGTACTATTTTTAAGGCTAAACCATGATAACTAAGCCAAAAATATGCTAGCTAAAAGTCGGTGATTTTAAATCCCAGAACCTTCAGGTATTACACCGGTCAGCGACCCTCCTTCTATCTGAAATGGAAAAAAAGTATATTAGACAGAAAGGAAAGGAAGTGGCAAATAGAACATCCAGCAAATTTAATAAATTAAAAAAGTTATTGAATATTCCAACCAATCCCTGCAAGCCATGACAAAAAAACAGGCGCCAATTTGGCGTGAAAAGCGGGGGCGAGGGTTGGAAAGATGGGTCGGGGCCAGACTCCCCATGCCGATGCGTGCGTTCCCCAATTTTGCGCAGTTTTTTCCCGTTTCCGTTTCACGCCTCTGGTGCATGTTAATTAGCAGGCCACAAATCGGTTTGCAAAACATGCTGCCGACTCGCTGCCTCTCTCTGAATGTAATTTTACTTCCTCTCCTCCTCCTCCTGCTCTCATGGCACAGGAATGGAAAATGCATCGTGTGCAGCTCTGCTCACCCCACGGCAATGTGATTTGTTAAATTATTTGGGCAGAGACTAGCAAGCGGTTGAAGTGATAAGGAGATCGGCTGACAAGATTAGGGAAACACTCCTTAAAATTGCGAAAAAGGGTGTGTGGTTTGCCTCCAAACTGGCAGAGAAAACAGCTTACAATATTCAAAATTGGAGCAAAGATGGGGTTTTTTTCCTTAAATGCTAAAAATCGAGAGGAAGAAATCACTTGAACTTTACAAGACTACTCGGCCTGTAAAAAATGCCTTATTTTGTTCATGGACAGCAAACTTTTTGCGTTCCAATTTGGCGTTGGATTTTTATGAAACATTTAATTTATTAGTGTAACTAGAGCTATAATGTTAAGAGTGACTAATATGCACTAAGGCATATTGTTCCCAAAAATTTAAGTCAATTGACTTTTAATGATTTACAAAAGGCTAAAAACAATTGTGAAAACTAATATAAATGGGGAAACTGCATCTGATGAAAAATGCTTGCAGGAGTGGCGTGCTTACATTTGCCTTGAAAATCCACGATCAACTATTTAATAAAAGTCACTTAAATCTTGCCAAACTAAAGTGAAGCAACTCTGGAAATAAGATTTTGTTGTTCACTTTACATTGTTTAATAGATAATTTCTCCCTGGATTTATATTTGATGGACTTCAGTCCCCAAGGCGACTAAGTCATTGAATGGAGCACTGACGGCCACGAATGTGTCACTGAATTAATAAAAATGTTAATTTGGGTCAGAATTCCATATATGAGCCTACACTTTAATAGGCTTTACTATTTGCAATTGACGATACGAGATCGAATTGAATTTGCACAAGTTTGAGTAGTCTATATATAAAAAGATACAAGTGAATTCAAACAAAAAGCCGAAGAAAAACAAAAAAGGGCGCTTTTCTGAAATAAAGGCACATAAGCAGTTGCTAAATTATTCATTTTATAAATGCTATTTAAAATTTACTGAACAGGGGTGATACCCCGTTTTTCTTCCATATTTTATCGGTGTGTAACAAAATGGTGGCAGAGCGACACAACAACAAACCTTGTCACAAAATTGGCCAAAATTACTCATTCTCGAAGGTCAACATAAGTTGTTTTTCCAGGTTTGTCTGAACCCAGTTTTCAATTTAAAAAAAGTCGAATTCTGTTGGAAGAGGAATGCTTTAGCGCGACTTAAGTGAGCAGAGAATTCCAACGAAATCGGTTTTTAAGAAGGTTGTGATGGAAGTCACTTAAATTACTTCCTTTCGAAACTTTTGCAAGGCGTCGGTGGCCTTAAAGTCCGGCATCTACCCAGTCTTTCGACTAGAGTAAAATGAGGAGATTTTTAACTCCATCCTGCCGTCACCACCTCAATTGAGTAAAAACACACAAACAACAGAAACCGAATCTGCACCTCCACGCGCATGAGCACGCAAAATCCGCTAATTGACTGGGGAATTTGACGGCTTTTCCTACTAAATTGCATTTCCACGAAGAGGAATGAGGAGGACAGGGGGGTAGAGGAGGAGATGAGGGCGGAAGGAGAAATCCCCGCTGACAGCCCAAAATTACACTCTACGTGCGTGGTGTGAATTGTTTAGTGCATTTAAATAAAGCACGGAGGAAGGTGGGAGGAACAGCTGGATTGCTCATCGTTGCCGCCACCGTGAATGGACCGACCCGCCCTCCTCCCAGTCGCCCTCTATCCCCCCCCATCTTCATTGCGCTGAAGTTGACAACAACCACCAGGAAATAAAAGTGTTGTCCCTAATTGATTATCCTGCTTCGTAGAGTTGCCACTCCTAGTATATGTGCACTTCTGATGGGAAAGTTGTGACATTCACTCTAAGCTTAGTTGGTTTTGGCGCACTTATGGTCAAGTCGAAAAGTGGCAAAAAGTCACCTAGAGGGCGTTTTTACTTAAAGGGATTGGCTACACAGACAATCACCTGCGACCTTCAAACCTTACAACACAACAAAAATGCATACGTGTTGACAATGTCTAGTCGCAACCATCACTTCACTTTCCTATGCTTTTATTTGCATCAAAATCATCCCCCCAACTCCCTTTTGGAGATGCAAAAGCCCAAAAAGTTTTCAGAATAACCTCGAGGAGTCAGTTGCCCCTGTGCCATCGATTGCTATTCAGCACCCATCAATCAGATTCGTGCGTGCCTAAGAGGCGAACTAATCAATGATTGATTATCGATGGAATGGGTAGGCGTGTGCGTGGCGAGCGGAAGTCGTGCGCATCACAACAGCACAAGGCGCGTGTGTGTACATGTGACAGTGGAAGTGAATGATGCCTGTCAGAAATGGTCAGGAAATCGGGCTAAATTTCAAAAAATGTTGCAGAAAAATTTTCCACATAAAAATCACTGGGAAGAGTACTCAGTGCAGTTACATGACCCATGGTTACCACAATGAGGTATTGAATTCGTTTCCGTATTCTGTGCTTTTGTGGTGGGAAATGAGTCGGCACAAGTCAAGAAAGTTGAGAGAAAAAGTGATTTAAATTAAAGGCTGCTGGTTGGATGGGAAATAGGCAGACCTTGATCCCTTTTCCAACGATTTCGTTTGTATTCCATTTCAGCAAAGTGTCTTTTAGTGAAGACTCATGTATGGTGACTTCACGAAACAAAAATCTTAGCTCAAAACGCAGTCTCAGAACCATACTTCAGTCGATTGAACTCGTCTTCTGACGATTCCAAACCCAAGCTGCAAAAGTAGACGAACTGTAAAGGAAATTAAACAACCTTGGGCAGGTAAATTTGCTGACACGAATTGGCAGTTGACAGTCCTCAGGCTACCAATCGGACCGTAAACAAGGAGTGGATTTTGACATTTTGCTTTAGTTGAAGTGCAATACATTGGCTGTTTGATTCAGGGGTTCTGCTACTATACCTTGCCGAGTGGCCTGAACTTCGGGTCATGCCAGTAGCCCCTCAGCTCTTCTGTAAGCCGTCAAATACATATTCTGCCCTAGTATTGTCTTCTTTCGTCTTCAGGGAAAGGGAAGCGAACCCGATCTTAAAGGATATCTTTCCTTATTTCTACCCTTGGATGATAGACCTTAGCCAGGCGGAAGAAGTGCATATGCTGCGGATGGGGGGATCTGTGACAGCCCCTAGCAGAAGGGTCGGAAATGATGTCCACCTTTGACAACTACCCAAATCCCGTGGTCTGCAGCAATGCTAGTAACAAATGAGGCAACAATAGCCGTGAACCAACTGGATTAGTTCGTCACGGAGCTGTCCACCACTTTATTGTGAAGATGTCATTTATGTGAACACGCGACACATTCTCCACCTCTCTACTAGCTGGAGAGGGCCCACATAAATATGGCTGGACAGCACTGGAGTGAAAAAAAACGTGGCACGGAACTATGCCAAACCCTGTTCTTTATTACATGACTCTGCTTTTGGGCCAGTGCTGCTTCGACCAGCTACGGACGCGTGTAATGGCTAGCACGTTCCCTCGACCCCCCTCCCCCCAACACAGGACAAAAGTCCAGATCCAACTGAATCGCCGAGAAGGATCAGTGACGTTGCGTTCAGGTCGGGATTGCTTCGTGAGTGCTTCCTTACAGCACAGGGTACGTCATGATGGCAGACGCGGGAGGTTGACCAAAGGGAGCGCTGGGGACGACGCTCAAAAGAGAAGAGGCGTTGTGTGCAATACGTCGGTTGTTTAAGCTCTGGTTTTGGTAACAGGCCACTTGGGTGCTCCACCATTGTACCTCCGCTGAGTGACCTGGCCTTCAGGCCATGCCACGGATCCCTCTGGGAGGAAAGTCGACAACCACAGCTACTGCTACTCAAAAGGGCGTTACAAGCGGATCTTTGCCTTAGATGGGTAACAGCGGTCTGCATCTATTGCATTATTTTCAACTCAACAAATCTCTTTGCAACGCTATTTTGCGTAACCTCTCAACACTTTTCTTTAAACCTTTGTGACAAATCGAGCCTGCGTTCCATGGCCACGAGAATGACTAACATGAGAGACACTTTCAGGTAGTTTGGTTCCTAAAAAAATTCTACAACGCTGTTGTAATTTGTTGCCAGTATTTGATTGGACACCCATTTAGAACACATTCACCTTTCCTCCAAATCCATCCAAATGTTTTGAGGTTTGTACTCCCAAATCTTCACTGCTCGCGACTGTGCCTGGCTAGATGTTTGACGTGCACAGCATATGATTAATTACTAAACTTTCGATGCCCTCCTGGATGGTCCAAAAAGACGGGTTTACTCCCAATGCTGAGTGTGGAAAAGACAAATTCTTGCTCTCCGCCCACTTTCCTACAAAAGAGTGCTTCAAAACGTCATAGTGTAGGGCCAACTGGCTTTTTAGTTGGAAGTAGATGCTCAACAAACTTGCGTCCCCACTACATAAAAATGGAATCTGGAGAGTGTGAAAACCATGTGAAGGCTATGCCTTTTGCTTTAATTCTTGACTAGAACATATCCAAGCTGCTATGGAGTGATGACGTTGACTCTTCCGCCTTTGATAATCTTGGCAGGGAGGTGGGAGGGAACTGAAAGCCCTAGTCTGCTAATCCGATACATCATGCGGCAACGAACTGTTGCAAGTCAGGATGCCTGCGTATGACGATAATTAGCCTCGATGTGAAGGTTTTGTGCAGCATGAAAATTAAATGAAAACTACCATATTGTGCCAACAAGGTGACTGACGAGGTGAAGTTTACCACCCGCCTAGTCATCAATCATGCAGGATCAAAAGAGCGGATAGTGCAGTCACGAAGCAATACTACTTACTACCCAGGTAGCTCCCCGATGAGCCTCCTTTAGGGAGTGAAATGCAAAACCACTTTGAAGTGCTCAGATCAATTGCAGCGTGTGGTCTATTTACGAGAAAAACCGACTTATTGCTCTTCTGTAAATAGGAGGAATACGCAAAATAAAAAACTTATCAATGGACCATCTATTTGTCAAACGACAAATTTCAGTTATCAAGTAGGGTAGCACATTCAGGCTAGACAAAAGGAGTTACCTAAGAAGTGCATCAATACACTGTGAAGACTTTCATTTGTTAAATTTCGTTAAGCCTCGGCGATAGGCATATTATATTCCCCGCGTACAGATCAACTGGCAAGATCTAGACGTCGCTGCTGTCACAATATAGACCAATGACCAGACACTAATCACTTTTTTGCCAAACAATAATGCAATTTATTCAAAACTTGCCTTAGCAACTTTTAAACATGCACAAAAAGGCGCAACCACGATGGAGTTGGGGTTTTCCGGTTCAGAGATCACATCCGCTGTAGGTGATATGGTAAGACCTCGCAGTATTCCTAAGCTAAAACGGCAAGTATAAAATGGCTACTTACAAAATTAAAGTACAAGTTCTTGCAAGCCGTTCAGCAAAGGGTAAAAAGCAAAAAACGTCTTTAAAACATAAAAAACGCCGCTCTTAATGGCTGTAAAATTTCCTCAGAAATGCGCCTTGACTTTTAAAATGGAGATGAACTTATATCTGACCAAAAGACGCACTAGCAGCACCAACGATTGAGCAGATTGAAATGATGAGCTACGAAGAAAAGCAGTACGATTTTAAAAGCACGAGGACCAGTAAACGAAAATTCATTAAAACAAACGAAAGCATAAAGGTGATTCAGTAAAAAAGGCGTCACAAAATCAGTCAGGTAAATTGGGAACTAATTAACTAACACAGCTACTGATTTAAATTCGGCAGCTAAAACACCTCACCTCAAAGTAGCAAGTGTCAGCATCATCGTCGGGACAGGGAACAAAGGGCATTGTCACATTCTGCAAGTTGCTCCACGGTCCCACTTGAGTGAAGAATGCGTGCTGCTCAATATTTTTCGCGGTCTCCAGTCGCTGCGGAGGTTCCCGCTCCAGAAGACCCCTGATAAGGTCCTCTGCAGTGGGAGAAATCCCTCCTCCTTCACTCAGCCGCGCCTCCTCGCCAACTGGCCAGGGGATGTCTGGAAAGTAAGGCGGGAAGAACAGTCCACCACAGAAGGAGATTCGTCACTATGAGCTATTTTTACTTCTCTGTGAACCGTTCTTCACGAAGGCGAGCTAGAACTCTGCCTCTGGTAGTTACGCTATTAGTTCGTCCCTTGGGAGTAACTCAGGCACCACAATAATGACATATTAAAATCCTTTGACCCTTGGGAGGATTTACCAGGCTTTCAATAACGTTCCAAAGAAGGCTAACGTTAAAGTACGTATTTGGTACAGAAACTTGAGCACAAAGATCCAAAGGTGGGATCAATTCTGTACGGCGAAAGGTAATGAGGACATTAGGTGGTTTTAAAATGACACTAAAAATCGGAGAGAAAAGTAGGACAAAATTCAAAGGAACGACCTTACATGGCGTATACAGTCATAGGGGAACCAAAAAAGACCGCGTGGTTGTGCAACAAGAATAAACTAATCGTAGGAAGTTTCTTTCGTTACCTTAGTTACTGAAACAACCATCATTACGTTCTATCCTTCCTCCGATAGAACGCAGGATTGCCAAATCAAAGTATTTAATCCAAATCATATTCGTTCCGGTTACGCCTCTGTTTCCAAACTGCCTATTTCGTTTCACATGCTATGTCATTAGGTGATTGTCAAATGGCAATGTCAAGAAAAGGTGCTGATCAAAGGACTTATGAAGGAAACACGCAGGATGAGGAAGAAGTGATACACCGTTTCCATCCCTTTTTTCCGTCCTAACCTAAATGAAAATGTTCCCACAGGTCGTCCTCATCCCTTTGCTCTATACAGTGAAAGGTTTTGGGTTGTCTTGCAAGAGGACCACTTCTTCTAGCTGATTCACTAGTTCTGGCGGTTTCTCAAGTATAAGCTTTTCATGCACACCTTCAAGCTGCATCGAAGAACTGGACGCATAGTATTCCCCATCTCGACAGCTCACTTTGATTGAATCAAACACGTTTGTTTTGAAGGCGGTTTACAGCAGTTATTCCCTTAAAGCATCTTCAGAGATAACTCAAGGCATGTGTTACCTAATTTTATGATATGCTCAAATATCTCCTCAAGGCTGTCGTCGGCGAAAGGTGAAACACCGGTAAGCATTTCGAAGAGGATCACTCCCAGCGCCCACCAATCGACGGCGGGATTGTCCGCAGCCTGTTGGCATTGTGGATAGGTGAGCAACTCCGGTGCAAGGTACTCTGGCGTGCCAAAAACATGCCCCGGTCGCAAATGCGGTACAGCTGAGGACGATGGTGGCTTCTAAAGTCGGCAAAGGCAGAATTATCGAGCTCCATAAAGTTTTTAGGGATGGCTTGGGCTGAGAGTGGTAAAGTGACTCGATCTAAATAAATAAAAACCCTGTTTTCAGTGGCTGGTGATTTGGACTCTTCGAAAAGAGGGACCTATGTATCAGAAAGGTATTTGTCTTGCGCAATACACTAGGCAGACTCTTCAGTTCTCTGATGATATTCGTGTCAATTTAACGTAAATATCCATCTAAGAGTCACATAATCAGCTTCAATGAGGATGTGAGCGCTACATGATGCCTGATGGAGTTCTCACCCGAGGCTCATAGCGGAAGGAAGCGGAGTTGTGTGGATCGTATGGTATGCCTGTCAAGCGTAGAGAAAGAGGGGGAGGTGGTGGCTGATGGTCGAAGCTGCGAGCAGACGCCTCAACTGACTCGCTGCTACTGCTGTCAAAGAGTTGGGAAGCCGTTTTGCAAATCTGTGGGTCCAACTTGATTCCTCTTCCCCTACCTGTCGCCTGAGAAAAAGTCCATGTTAAAGACAATAAGCAATTTAGCGCTATTTCTCAGTAAAACCTCTCAGGCATAAGATAGAGCCCATAGAGGCAAGTAAATAGCAAAACGTTTCTAAAAGTAGAAGCTAAAATAGAAAAAAGTAAGAAAACATTTCACTAATAATATTTACTGGTCCGATAGCCAGCAAATACACAATTTAGAGACGAAGAAAAAGCCAACACTGGCTAACGTATTTACCAAAGCTAAAATTCGTCCATTTATTAGTCAAACCTTTCCACTTAGATTTTGAAGGACATGACAAAGAGTTAACCACTTAAAAATTTGTTTTAAGTCAATGGTTTTCAACAAAAAATGGTCCGTTTTAAAGGTGGAAACTGGAAAATTAATTGTTAAAATTGCAGCAAGAGGGGAAATTTTCTAGGATAATCAAGAAACCAAAAAGGTGGGCAATTTGACAGGACAAGCAGAAAAAAAAGCGGTAAAGGAGGGAGCGCGCCCATTGGCCAATAACGGACCAATTAAGTTGAAAGCCGGTTTTATCAGACCAGACACGGAAGCTTTAGCAGTCGTACAAATCAAACTGACCCTATTTATGACATTCTTTAACACTAATATCTCGCACAATATAATTATTCACTCAAACACGTTGAAGACCAATAAAAGACGTTGCTTCACGGTGGAAAGGGGAAGGGATGGCTCCGATATGAGTTATTAGGAAATCGGTTTCTCAATTAAACCAGGTATGATAATCACAGTCTAGTGGTGAATAATTAATAGATATTAATGCTCCGTGAGCAAATGTAAAAAGGTGACATGATAAATACCCACTTGTGAGGTCACAAGATTGCTAGGAGGTCGTAATGACCTCGGAGTTCTCAGAGGTGTGACTTGCGCCTCCAGAGGTGTAGATTCCCTCCCAAAGTCGGGCGGTCTGGAGGGATTCAGTTGGGACAAACACACGGCATCTAAGGAAAAAGGATTGCTATTTTGAGCTGTCTAACCAAGACAAGTTTCCACTACTGTGCCTTCATCACTCACTGCATTGCAAGAGAGGGGAGGTTGATGTAATAGCTGATACTTAGCCAATGAGAGCACTCTAATGAAACCTTAACCTGTAGAAAAAGCACCAATATTCAGTGAATCAATGGTGAAACAAGTTATAGAACAATGCAAGATAGTGATAAAGAAGGTCTTACTATTAAAATCGGCAGAAGTGATGTGTTTCCGCTGGCCAATGTCATCGAAGGAGATGGTTGCAGGGGCCTGAGTTCTAGCAGCCCTGCGAGGAGGTCGAGAGGGAGTCTTGAACACAAAGCCAAGGGTGGTAGTGGGCACATTCTCCTTGTTACCTTCCTCAGTGCTGTAAGAAATAACACGAAACATTACCTTACAATATTGTTTTACGAATGAGCTGCCCACACGAACAGATCAAAAGGCAAATTAAGGGCGAAGGACGCACACTTCACTATGATTGTCCGGAGCTGCTCCAAGGGAATGTGTGGAAGAGGAAGAAGCCAACGAGTTATTGCTAGGATAGTGAAGCTTCACAGCGGACAAAGCACGCCGGAGGCGAGGCAGGGCCACGTAGTGACAGTGGACTGGTGATGAACTGCGAGGTAGCCGCGAATCCAGTTGGGCATCGTAGTGATCATCTCTTCCGCCAATAGACGAAATCTGGGACTTGAGTTTCGAGAGGAACTGGTCATTGTTTGCCCAATATTTTACAAACAAAATCAACCAAAAGTCGTTACAGCTGGTGTTTTGAAGTATAAGCTAATACCAATCGAACAGCTCATTTGGATAGCTTTTGGCACGATTTGTGACAATGATTTGTGGTATTCATATGCATTATAAAGCACAGGTAGGAGTCAAACCATTGACACGGTCCTCTTTATTATGCTCTATAATATTTTACCTTTGTTTCGAACACAGATAAAAGAGAAGAACGCAATGGAAACCCACAGCAGGCGTTCTAGGAGGCATTTGATGCTTAAGAGGCTTCGAGTCATCAGAGAGAAATCGAGTTCTCGAGGCGACGGTATTGTCCACTGAGGGAGAGAAGGACCAGCTGCGACTATGTGGGGACTCGTTGGCATTTGGTGAAGAGCAACGGGAAGTCACCTGGCAGGGGCACATGAGAGCGGATGGATATCCAGGTAGAGGTTACCAGGGGCCACGAAGGGAAATAGGAAGATTGCTCAATGACACAACAGAAAAATAAAAGCCAAGTATGTTGATTCGCTTTCAAGAAGGAACTCTATTGACGTTTTTTGAAGGCATATTCCCAACACTCGTATACAGACTGCTGTGAGCAGTGGGAGGGTGGTGCTTTAGTAGACAAATCTCAAAACGCATAGCTAAACATGAGATAGGTGAGAAAGCTCCTTTCAGAAAGGCTCTGATCCACTGAGTTTGAGTCACAAAATTCGATTCCATGAGGCAAACGGGTGAAAGCTTTGAGACAAATTTTACGGAACAGTATGATCCTGTATCATTAATTTAATCGCACTTCAAAAGACGGTATGGAGGGAATAAAAAAATTAGACTCACCGGATTCAATGCAGCGTCTGTGATTAAATGTGAATTGAAGGAAGCACCTGAAGACTCAGTCACTCGGGAGTTCTTCTAAAGAACCCAAAAAAAGGTCCAGCTAATTTGGGAACAAATAGGAATAAGAGACAGGGAAAGAATGAAGCTACGCACGAATGAGAGATCCGTGGTGAGAGAGATGATTTGACCAGGTGTGCGGGAGAAGGCCTGCGACATACGTGTAGCTGAGGGTGTGTAAAGCACATCCGCCGGTGAGAGAACTGAAGAGTAAAGGAGAGTGCGTCATAGCAACAAACTTGGCAGTTAGTTCGTACAATTCTAATAGTTAAGAGAATCTACAGAATTCCGACAAAAACTACCAAAATTTTCGCAAAAAGATCCCAAGCCTAAAAACAAGAAGACTCATTTAAGCGGACAAGAAAGGTATTTAATTAGGTTGCCAAAAAATGTTGAGCCACGCCTGTGTATGCAGAAACCTTGCAATGTTTCTCCTTTTTCATAGCTCATAAGCTGTCAAGTTCTCGGATGATGTTAAAGTAACTCGAGCTAGGGAATGGGCCATCTAACAGAAGGTTTACAAATCAAGCTTCTGACCGAGCTCAGCCCCCAAACTCCACTTTTTTCAAGCATTTCATTCTTTGATGCAACATTCATGTGTCCCAAGGAGACGCATTACTGATGCAACTAACACCTTCACCAAACGTTCTTTTCTTAAAAGCCAAGAAAAACTTAACTAATAAACACATCTGTCTCAATGATTTTTTTTTACCTTCCGACTATCGATTCTATTTTGCATCTTATGTTACTAAGTGACTGACCAATAAGAGATTTAAAGCACATAAGTAGAACCTATTTGTTCGATACACAAGGCTTTTTCTTCTCATTTGATGCAGGTGTATACAAAATTTTAAGTCACCACCCAGGTTAAACACTAAGCTTTAACAATAATGATCTGTTCGTGTTCAGTAATGGGAGACCTTTCCTTCTGAACGTGATGTGTCTGCCTTTGAATGCTTCATCGCCACAACACAACTCTTTGCTTAAACCATTACTGGACAGTACGTTCTAGTGTTACACGACGCAAACCTCACCATTTTGATATGTAATCCAAAAAAATTGACGAGAAGCTTCTACAACTTCAGAGCCGAGTTCTAATGACCTTCAACAGGTTCAAACGATGTTTAACGATACGAGACCGGGTTAAAAATATTGGATAATGCACAAGAAGCACACCCTTTGACCAACTGACAGAAGAGAGACCGAAGTCAGTCAGTTTAAGATGTCCTTTCGCTGTGATGAGAACGTTGTCCGGTTTCAGATCCCTATGGATGATCCCGTGTTCGTGAAGATATTTCACCGCAATCACCATCTCAGCCATGTAGAGTGAGGCGGGTCTCTCGTCCAAGTAGCCCGCCGCCATGATCAGAGATTTCAAATCCCCACCAATGAGGTACTCCATTATCTGAAGGGTGCAGGCATGTTAGGGAAGGACGGGGATTGCTGGCTCACCAAGTAGACGTAGTCCTTTGTTTGCAGTGAGTAATAGAGGTGGACGATGTAGGGACATTTGCTGACAGCCAAGGCGTTGCGTTCAGCGGTGACTGAGGTGAAGCTTAGAGAATAAGGAGAACCAACCCTGACTAACCAGGTTCTTTTTACGCATTGCCGATTTGGACATGGCTTTGATTGCATAGAGCTGACGATTATTCTTCTTCTTGGCCCCTAAAAAGACCTTCCTGAACGAAAGGGAGTCAGATAGATTGTAAGGTTAAGTTCATACCCATAGGCTCCACGGCTTATAGGTTTAAGGATGACAAAGTCCGATATTGATGGAGCAGCCTTAAAGTAGATGATTGACGAAACTCACCAGAACTATTTACATTAAAATTGTAATCAGCAAATGCGAGGAAGCAAACTGCAGGATTCAAGGGAGTAAGGCAACTTCAAAATATACGAAAATAATAGAACGGTTCTAATTCACGTGGGTGTTGACGTCATACATTGCGTCGTCAGTATTCAAGGACAATGCAAAGCGAGTTCAAAAGTAAAGCATAGTCAAAAGAAGTCATTTTCAAATTTGTAACACATATACGACGCCCTGATAATCATATTTTAACATCCGACAAATCCAAATCGGGAGACTGGGGCGAATCGGTAGAAAGCAGGTGCTGGCACTTACATTGTCCTAAATGTACATGCTTAAAAACCAGCATAAGCGCAGATGCGCTCGAGAAAACGATGAAAGAGAAAAGCATAAAACATTAAAACCACAACGTGTGCTCAACGCACACCATTCAGATACAATCAAAATTTGCGCCCCAAACCAGATATCTATTGCCGATAAATTCAAATGTTTTGCCCTTTTTTGTTTGTTACAAAGGAACAAAATCAATTTTGACAGTCAGCAAAAAAATGCGAGAATTCACCTTTTACGGATGTGTCTAGGCCCGGATATGTGCAATAATAGCAATTATGATCTCCCCTTACACATTCTCCACCGAATTTCGTCGAATTACCTAAATTAAAACCAATCTTTTGTTATTTATTAGCTTTAAAGTCTTATGGTAGTTATTAGCACCTGGTAGCGATAAAAACAATTGGTCCGATAAGTGGAATCTTGGAGGGCGTATTTTTCTGTTTTCGATTATAGTGTAGTATAGTGGTTGCTAGGTTCTCGGCTTTGGTAAAGAACTACTTGGTATTCTAGCCACTGTACCTTTGTCAAATAAACTGGCCTGTGGGTTGTGCTAGTAGCTTAACCCCTACTTTACGTCGGATATGAATATCCTGCCGGTTTCCTCCTTATCCCTTTTCTTCAGTCCATTAATAGGAACGGTTGTTTTACACAGAGCGTGGTGTAGCGTCCCAAGACTTCCCTGAGGACGAAAGAAGACGCAATACTCGGGCTGAATATGTATTCAGCGCAGAGAAGGTGTTTGGGATATTGGCATGGCCCGAAGGCCAGCACACCCAGCGGGGTACAAGAAGGCTAATTCAAAGTACCAAAGTGGTGCCTCACCAATACCGAGGAATAAACCACCATCGTACTACAGTAGTGCATCAATTTGAGGTAGAAATTATTCGGATAATAGCATCAATCTAGGGAATCAGGATGCTCACTCTCTTCGAGGATCAAAGATGCTGCCTGGGTCAGCAACTGTGTCGGGCTTATCGAAATTTACCTAAAAAACCAGTCAACTAGCCTTGTGTTACAAATACAGTGCAGTACCTATTACAGAAACAAAGAAAGTGGTATTAAAACTAAAGGTATTTCGATATGTAGCCGATGTATTTATTAACGACCTTCTCAGTCCATGCCTTGTTATCCAAAACAAATAACTTTGTCAAAATCGAGAATTGGTGCACTTTACAAAAATCGCTCCTAGCTAGCGAAAAAGGAGGCTTTGAATGAATTACCTTCTTACAACTTACTTAATACTGTATGGAGCAGTCAGAAGTGGGAAAAGTAGATAGAATTTGTTTTATTTAACAAACACGTACTTTGCATTGAGTACCTCTCCTCCAGTTCTGCGGTATGCCCGTGGGTGAACATACTACTTCTAATGCATCAGTAGCAGCCGTCAGGCCAGCAGACGCAATCGAGGGAATAACCAGGGTTCGCTTTGACTGTGAAGGGTATAACAGCATTTGAAAATGTCTGAAACCCACAGGAATAGCCTTTTGATATCAGAATCCCCGACTTCTTTTTTGAATCGTCTTTCTCCGGTCGTTTAGGAGCACTTCACAGCCAGGATTGCGTTCAAATAAACCCCGTTGCATCCAAGTAGGTTTTGAGTTTTACCATAAACAATTTAAAAGACTTTCCTAGTATTTTATAGTGAGTGGACTCTGCCAGGAGTTCCTCCTATCCTTAGTAATTGGAAAAGCGGAAGATTTCTCCGCTGCCGGAAGCTTACTGGACACTATAGCTACTTCACCATACCGCGCATTCAGTAGAGGTCCAGGGGGAGCCAGTTCAAATATTATGCAGTTTTGACGTGCTAAAGAATAATGCAGCATTTTACAGTTATTTACATCCATCCAATTCACCAAATGTTAGAGTTTTTCTCCATATGCTGTAGCATTGGGTGGGTTTGACGGACAAAATTGTATATTACTCATTGTTGCCGGTTTCTGGGTTCTGATACTATGCAGTTACAAGTTCGTTTCATGGAGGAGAGAGAAAATGCCTCATTCTCATTCCTCAAGCTCAAAGTGCTCATTGTCTTTTCTTGGCAACAGACAATGACATCCTCCCATGTGAGAAATAAAACTAAAACTCGCCAACTAGTGTCCCATTGGAAAGACTATAAAACAACCGATAAAATGCTTTGAAAGGCCTTCTTCAGTCATTTGTCTTTTATTAATACAGAATCACGCCAGTTTTATGTGCGTATACTCGCTGTGAATGGCTGGGTTCTTCGAGATTTGCTGAGTATCCGAAGTTCCGGGTTTTGTGCAACGATCAAGAAGAAGAGGGACACACACCAGGGTCCAACTGGTCGAAGTTAATTTTAAAAATGTGTCCGCCAGTCTGATAGCATTATTTCCCCCAAAATTTAAAGAGCGTTCCGTATCTAGTGCACATCTTGATAACTTTTCGAGGCTCCGATTACTTCGAAATATAAGTCAGTCTTAAGGTCCTTCCTGCTTCATTACTCTCCAAATTTTTTGGCACCGAACTAATGTGTGGATCCCTAAATTTATACACTACTGTTATTCATATTGCACCTTGTTTCGGTTTGAATAGAGCTTTGGACGAAAGCCGGGCAGACCAGAATATCCACATAACCATGAGGGCAACTTGGAACCCCGAGGAGGAGGCGGAAGCAAACCCTGATTCTCCACACACTCTTGACCACTTGTGGATTAGCACATTGCTATAATATATGAATCTTCTTATTCCGGGGATATGAAACCGGAGATGGCGGAGAAATACGATAACAATACTGCATGATCCGCAAGTGTTCTTTGATAGATTGTCCTCAATTAGCAGAAACACTTTTATGTAAGGTCACCAACTGATGAGTTTGGGAGGACATTTAGTCTACGTCCACACTTTTTCATTGCAAATGTGGACTTCCATCAGACATGTCGCCTCGTCATGAAATCCCTTCCCCTAATCTCACACATCTCTTACTTCCACGGTAGAGGAATTAGCTGGGATCATGTTTGAAGTAGCAAAAGCGTACGGTCAATCAACCAGATTCATCAAATGAGGAATAAGTTATCCTGCTCTCAGGAACTAAATTAATTTCTTGGACTTCGTTAAAGTAGATGAAAAATAGCACCTCAAGTTCTTTTTAAAGTTTACTGGCTACAACCATGGTCCGGAGGCCTTGCCACCGAGTGCAGACTCACAAAGTGCCATGTGACTACAGATGGCAAACTGGAGCATTCTGTTTTGTGCTAGCTTTCATTATTCGTTGGGGTTACAAACCTTCTTAAGAAATCTCCCATGGGTAAGCATAGAGTCGAATTCTGGCAGCATAGTTTCCACGACACTCCAGTATTCTGCTCAGATACTGTGCCTTCTTTCGTCTTCAGTGGAGTCCTGGGTGCTTACGGAAAGACTAACAAACATAGTGCAAAGGCCTTAATGCAGGTAGGAAGCACAATCTGTGGAGAATGAGATGTTCTCCGTAGTCACACACACAGTTAATCGAAGTACCAAATCACCCACCACAAGAAAATAAGGGCTCGATTTCCACTAGATTGCCTTTTTTTAGTAACTTAAGGGTTTGCTAAATGGGAGCCTAGAGGTTGCTGCAGCTGCTGATGCTAAAAGTGTGGGGATCCGCGCTATTCATTTGTGATACATATTTGCTGCATCAGCTAAGTATACAGACTTGCTCTACTTAAATGCTGGGCGAAATGCTGTTACAAACTTTTTTTGTTGGTTTCGAGCCTAAACGAATCTTTTGACACGTCTCCCTTATTTAGAAAACTCTTGTTGATACATTGCCTGCTGCGGTATTGCTAAGCACAATTGGATGATGAGACAGTCGTCGGCACATAGTCGCTTGCTAAATCAAATGGTGGAAGACCATCATGAATCGCGAGTGGCCTGCTGATTAACTTACTTCCTTCCTCATCTATTGCGCTGACTGCATGCTTTGTGTAGCAGCATGTTTAACTACACAGGCCGTTCCAGCGCCACAGGATGTAATCCCTCTTGATGGGAATACCATCCTGTCCCTCCGTCTATGATAATAAATCCTTTTCTCCCATACTGTTACAGCCTATTACGGCTTCCGGAAGGACTCGAGGCGTTATTCCGAGTCACGCTAAGTCCATTTTTCTCGCATCATTATTTATGTAAGATAGTAGGAGATAGTCCAGCAATTTTCCACGTCTGAAGGGTAAGATTTTTGTGAATTTATCTTTCATTAGTTCGAACCAAGATTACTAGAGCATACCAATTATTGTCACTTTTGACTAACTTTAGATTTGGGGGAATATTAAGACTACCCTGTTGCCTGAGGAGGCTGGTAATTTGTAGACCTAAACACAACCCGGATAACAAATATGGCAAAAGTAGTTTTCTTACTTTGAAATTCGGAGCGGTGACTTACAAACGCCCATTCTGATTACTGAGAACAGCAAAAGTTAACTTGTTCGACCTAGTTGTTTAAAGGTTCCCCTGAATATCTCAAACAACCTTCTTCGACTTCAAGAGACCTAAGCTGCGCGATAAGTCGTACATAAGTGAAGAAGGAATTTTCGCCACTCCACTGCCTTTTGAGTGCACACTGATGAGAACGCAATTAATCCACATTTTTCTGATTTTCAGAGCGCATTGCTAAGACAAAGGAACCCGTCTAACTCAACTTGTGCTTTACTAGCCTACATCCAAGTGCTCCCATCAGCAAGTCTCTCCCAACCGACGCTAAAATTGTAGAGGAGATAGCAGCGGACTAAAACAATGCTTGATATCTTCCAAAGATACGGCTCCCTTACTGCGT